CAAAATGAACTTTGGACACAAGTTCACAAAAGTGATAAACTCACTTTTTACTAGCCAAAGTGCTCATATTGTTGACTCAGGCTATATCTCAGAACCATTCAGGGTAGAAAGAGGAGTCAGACAAGGTGACCCATTATCACCACTGCTTTATGTCCTAGCTATTAACCCTTTCATTAACACCATAAAAGAAAACATCAAAGGAATTCTAGATAATTTTTCTTTAATCTAATTTCTATTACTTTTCTAATATTTTCTTTAGAATTGACAGTATTTATCTATCTTGCTTGAGTATACCATAGCCAGATTTCATATATAACTGTCAAGTGTAACCATGAGGCTGTTTTTTGTAGCTATGTATTTGAGATGTTAGACATAGTAAAAATTTCTTCCATTGTAGTAGGAGAGGCTTCTTCTAATAAAACATTTAGAAGCTTGTAGCCATAGGTCCATATAATTTTACTAATTCTACAGTCTAGAGTGAAGTGTTTTATAGTTTGTTTCTTATCCTTACAGTTAGGACAGCTTTTATTTATATTTGGATTAATATGTACCAACCAATAGCCAAGTAGAAGGGCTCTGTTTTGCAACCTCCAAAATATATCTTTTTTCTTATTTTGAATTCCTTTAGTAAATAATCAGTTGAAGTAGTTTATTGAGTATTCTTGTACTCCTAATGGTGATTGAGAGGCTGTTGGCTTTATTGATCATATTCTTAAAAACTCTGTTGCTTTCTTAACTGAGAATTGATTTCCTAACTTATTCAATATTTCTAGCTATGATAATGACTATGGCCAGTTGTTGTTTGTGATAACTTTGCTCTCTAGTCTCTTCCAAGCTATTAGATAAGGCTTCCAAGCATCTGGCCAACCCTTTAGTTTTATTGTACTTTGATTCAGTGCTTCTAAAATTGTTGTTTTTCTTTTATTTTGCAACTGTTGGAAGATTGCAATTCTTTCATGCTCTGCCCAAAGGTTATTGGATATTAGCAATTTAATCTTAAGGACCAGAGCTGCCAATCCTTCTTTCCAAGATTTAGCTGAAATGTTGAGTATTTAGGTAACATTTTTGACTTATTCTTAATCCATTCTGAAATAAGAACATTAATTTTGTCGAGCTGCTTTCTGCTTGGAGGAAGCAAATATGCCAAGTACCAGATTTTAGAAATTAATAGTGCTTTGGCAATTAGAATCTTTCCCTTAAAGGAGAGATTTCTCAAGTTAAGATTTTTGATCTTATGCTTAATACTATCTGTTAGTTTTTTTCATAATCATTTTTTGGGATTGCCTCTTGAGTCAACTTCATATTTTAGAATTCTAAGCAAATCATCATTGCTGACTATTTTAAAATTTTGTTGATTGGATAGTTTCTCACTACATGCCATGCTTGTAAGAGAAATTATAATAGATTTGTCTTGGTTTATCTTGGCATTAGTTGCCTTTTCATACTTTTCAAGTAGTGTTAAGACTTTACTCTAGTCTGTAAATGATCCAATTTCAATAGTTAAATCATTTGCATAAGCTACCATCTTGAAAGGTTGATTTCTAAGCTTGATTCCTTGAATCTCTTCTTGAAGTTTAAGAATTAAAGGGTTGAAATTGAGAACATATAGTAAAGGTGATAGTGGGTCCCCTTGCCATACTCCTCTTTGCACCCTTATAGGCTCAGACAATCTTCCTGAATCTGCGATATGTGCTACCTGTAAACTAAAAAGTGTATTTACAATTTTGATAAAGCTGTTATCAAAGTTCATTTTTTCCAGTACTTGTATAATAAACTTGTGACTCATTCTATCGAATGCCTTTTGTTGATCTAGTAGTATGAGCCAGTATGAAAGATTGGTTCTCTTGGTTTCTCAGAGTAGTAATTATATCTAAAGTTGTATCTACTATCAATCATTCTTTTATAAATGCTTGTTGTGATGGACCAATAATTGAGCTACAAATTTTGTTAACCCTATTAGCCAAGATTTTCATAAAAATTTTGGCATCACTATTAGTTAGTGAAATAGGCCTCCAGTTATTAACATCACTTAAGTTCTTTGCTTTTTTAGAAATAAGTATGATTATGCTTTTGGACCATGATTTAGAGATAGTGCCTGTTTCTAGACAGTAGTTAAAAAGACCCATAAATGCAGAAATAACCTTTTCTTGAATATCTTTATAGAACTCATAGCTAAGGCCATCTGAACCTGGAGCCTTGTTGTTAGAAAGAAAGATCAGTACACTTTTGATTTCATCTTCTGTAATATGTCTTTTAAGTAACATATTTTGTGTTATTGTAATAGGAGTAAGATTCTGGATAAAAAAATTAGTCTTATCTTGACTAATTTTCTCAGCTCTGTATATATCTGGTAAGTATTTCTTATATATTGAACTGTTCTGTTAATATTGTCTGGTTCGAAGTTGTTTGGTAGAGAAATTTTATCTTTTGCTGATGATGTATTTTTAATTTTGTATTGTGTGAAGAAAAATTTTGTTGATTTTTCTCCTTCTTTTATCTATTTAGCATTAGATCTAAGTTGCCATTTCTTAAAAAAAATATGAAGCTCATCCTGAAGTTGTATGCTAAGGCTTTCTTTTGCTTTAAGAAGATACTCTGAGCTTTCTTCCTCAGCCAATTTGTTGTTTAGTTTAGTTAGTTCTTTTTGGAGCTTTTGTATCTTCTTCTTTAGTGCAGAAGGAGGCCTAAAGGCTCTAATTATTAATTGTATTCTGCATTTAGATAAATCCCATTTTGAGAAGTCTGCAAAGCTCTTTATCTCCTCAACTACTTTTGTTTTTAATTGTTTATTATTCTAGCAATTTCTGTTAAATCTCTATTGTTTGGCTCTAGGTGACTCAAATGTGAAGTTTAGTTCACATTCTATCATTAAGTGATCAGAGTTGCCAAACTGTGTAGTAGTATATTTACAGTATTGGCTATAATTGGCATCAATAAAGATGTAATCAAGCCTTGTAGCCATACTATGATTTCCTCTTGTGTTCTGATGATAAGTAAAAAAAGATTTCTGGTTGTTTAATAGTGATGCTGTATCAATCAGGTCTAAAGTAATTTTTTTTAGTAATTTTCTCAAAGGATCATTAGCAATTGGTGCATAGCTAATATGATCTTTTTGTGGATTCAGATTTGTGTTAAAGTCACCTGCTACTATGTTAATGTGTTTCTCATTAAGTTGCAGGTTCCAATTATTAAAAAAGCATACTCTGTCCTCCATATTTAGAGGAGCATATATGTTGTTTAATTGAAAAAAGTATTGTTTCCAGTAAGAGTCAAACCCTCATATTTGTTTTAAAAAGTTTCTTGTATGGATATTTTCTAAATTAGTTTTCTGAATCATAATTATGTCCAAGTAGATGATTTTAACAGTGTAAGTGTTTTGTATGCTTTTCCTTTGTTGTTCAGTTCTTTGATATTTAGTGATGCAATTTTGATTTTTTTAACTATTAAAAAATAATTTAAAAAAGTAGAGATCAAGGTTATGCCTATTGCAGTCCTCTGGCTTTTGTATAGGAAGCTGATGTCCCTAAGACTGTAGTTCTTCCCACTTTTGAGGTTGTGATTCTGCTTTTATTTCTATGCTTTTTTCTAAAAACCATTGTAAAATCTTGTTTGTTCTCTTTATCTATAGGATCAGTATTGTTTGCCCATACATAGTTGTACAAACTTGCAAGTGAGTCCACTGGTATGTTTTCATATTCTATATTTGGCTTGTCCTCAGTTGATTCTGTTTGATATTTTAATTAACTTTTTTTATGTTCTAATTGACTTTTTTGTTCATTGTTGCTTGTTGACATCTCTGTGTCTAATGTTATTTCATTTTGCATTATGATGTTATCATCTTTCATATTCATTGTTTCAAGTTTCTTCATAGAGTTGTTCATAGTATTTTTATTTTTTAGTTCCTTGTTTACATAGGGATTTTCTGAACTGAATTCAAAAGGTTCCTCTATGTGTTGTTGGAGCTGAATTTTTTCTTGTTTCTTTTGTTCTTTTTGCAGTTTGTATAGGTTTCTAGCCTCAACTAAGAGTTTGTAGTCTGTGCAGTCTTTTTTATATGACCTGCTTTGTCATAGAAGAAGCACATCTTTGGGACCTCTCTTCAGTTAGTAGTGACTCTGTGGTCCCAAACATGTGTAAATCTAGAAATTCGACTTGTCAAATCTGAGTCATCTGTCATTTCAAAAATTACAACCCACTGGTCTGACATTATAGAGGTTTCTTTGTGGATCAGTGGTTTAATTAATGAGATTATGCCTATATCTTGGAATGCTTCTCTAATCTGCTCTGAAATAAATTTCTTTTTTCCCATTGGTGCATTTCAAATTCTGACTGATAGAATGTTGCATCTGATGTTTATAGGAATATACCCTTGTAAGGTCTGTTTAAAAATGCTAACACCTTCAGCTGCATATTGCTGTTGTTTGTTTTTATCTGAAAACACAACTTCTAAATAGGTTCTTTTGTTTTTGTTAATCACTGGCCAGGCTGCAACAGATCTTCTCCTATTTCTTGTTTCAAAGCTTCTATGATTCTTGTAGTAGAAATGTTTTCTAAACTAAATAATTCAAAGATTAGCACATTTTCATTTTTGGTAACAATTCTTTTTCGTAAAGAATAGGTAGAGTATGTGGCTTTTCCTCTTTCCAATTTTGAGAAAAGATTAGACCACTGTTTCGGTTTGGTTTGTTTATCCCAAGCTTCTGATTGGTTGTTTACATGATTGGATGTAGGCTTCTCACATGTTGTTTGTTTTGTTTGTTCATCTGAAATTTGATCTTTATTGCTTAAAGAAGTGACTGAAGACAAGTCTTCTTCTTCAAGTTTTGCTGTTTTACTCTTTTGGCCTTTAGGAGTTTCTATAGTAACCTCTGGCATATTTTCTTTTTCCTGTTTTTTTCTCAGTAATAAGACTATCAGACCTGTTGTTTTCTTCTTGTTTTATTTTTTTGTTTATATCATTGGAAACAAGACTAGACTTTTCTTTAAGGCTTGTGATTTTAGTTTTTTTATTTTTGTAACTCATTGATACTGAACTAGACATAGTTAAACAAGCTTGTTTTCTTTTCCTAGGCACAAGGGTTTTAGCCCTTGTATTGTTTTTAGTAATTTTTTTTAATAAAGGTTTAATAGTTTTTGTTTATTTTTTTTTCTCTACTACTGAATATAGATGGAGAGAAAGAGAGTTTTTAAAATATACAATTTTAAAAAAAATTTTTAATAAAAAAAATTTTTTAGTTTATCTATAATAAACTTTTTAAATTTTAATTTTAAACATATAGTTTTTAATACAACTTTTT